GACAAACTTTCTGCAACGCGTGGAAAAAACAAGCTGAGGTCGTGTTTATATATACAGATGCTGCCTTTGAGTTCATGATAGGCGTCTTGTCGTCTTTTTAGGGGGTTGGACAGTACATAGACGAGTACACATAAATCAGCATGCTGGACTACCCAAACCCAACCCTTATCCCCTTAAATGGTGTGGTGTCTCTGATTGCCTGCGAGGCCACCAACCTTGAACTCTTGAGGAAGCAAGAGGCTTCAGAGCGGCAGTTGCTGGAGTGGAAGCAGGCGTGGGAAGTGGGGCTACATGTCGGCGATGATGGGTATCTGATTCACTGATGTTGCCCTGGAAAAATGAAAAGAGTGGATCCGCAACTGCAAAACCTATCAAACCCATGCAAAACCTTTCCTGGGGATTGATGTCCCCACTAAAAGCAAAAAGGTGGAAACAGGTTGACCTTTATGCAGGGAAACGGAGGGAGTCAACTCATATTCACCGAGATGATTGGCTTAGGGACAGGCAAGATTCACTTGGAGGTGGATGGTTGGCTTCGAAATAGGATCGCGCGAGCTTTTCTGTGGATGTTGAATATCCCGAGCTCCGCATCAGATGGACATCGTCCGAGGCTGGAGTTGAACCAATTGGCCCCTTTCTCATGTTGTTTTTGGAAAAGGGCCAACAACGGCAGAAGGTCCGTTCCCCTTCTTATCCACCGGGCCGATGTCCGAGAACATGAGAAAACATGACCTCTCCGATGTCCGAAGACACAGGAACCGAGCACCGTGGTGTTCCTTCACCGGTTCCAACCGAGTGATATGAGGAGTGTAGCAGAGGAACCAGCGGAACTGAGCAGAGGAACTAGACCCAAAGCGAGGTTGGTGGCATCAGTCTGATGGACTAATACCAAGGAAGATTAAGATGGAACCTGATATAACCTGATGGAAAATGGACCAGACTGGAAGACTTGGTTTCCTCCGACATACCGTACCAGTGGTTTTCAGGTTCCACGTGGGTCTCTTCGGCGGCCCCGTGCTTGTGGTTTGGATGACTCGGTTGTGGAAGCAAAATGAAGCAAACACCAAACAGCCCCCTTTGGGCGGTCCGACATGTCCCAGTTTGCACCAGTAATAGGGGTCACCTGGCTGGAAGCCCCAGCCCACTACTGAGGGACCTCCAGACACGACACCCCGAAAGAAGGTCCAGGTGGACCATTTGATCTCTATTTTTGGGGGAAGGTCTTTACTAGAACCGTCATCAGACACTTTTGCTGGTCATGGAATATACCCCAAGTCTGGCAAGTTAGTCAGATGAAGGGTAAATAAAACCAGAAGCACTCACGACATTCACGTAGATGTGACATACTGCTTTCCGTATCTACGGCGATGGCGGATGTCGAAGTGTTGTCATCCTTTTTGATCCCTTTCAAGTATCCATAGGGCTCCAACTACCTCCGTTTCGAAGGTGGTTGGGGTGGGTGCCAGGGAGGTCTAACCACCGAACCTGAGGAGATGGGCCAGGAGCCCCAGGGTATGGTCCTTTCGTTGGAGCATTCTCCCAGTGGCACCCACCGATCCACGGTAGGATCAGTTGTCTGAGACGGTGGCCTTACGTGGCCGCTTGGAGGAGCCGGGCGGGACAGACCCAAACTGAACTGGAACCCAACGTGGAGGTGGACACCCTGAGAATAACTATATGGTCTTCATTGGTCTTCCTTCCGGAGCCATGCCACGCACATCATGATTTTCCATGTGAAGTTCCAGTCGTACCTTCGTTTCGAAAGCGGGACTGGGTGCCAGGAGAGGGTCCAGTCATATATCGACTGGAGCCCTAGGGCCCTAGGGTAGGTGGCGGGGACAGGGAACGGGGTGCGGCCAGGAGACTGTGGGAGATCAACATGTGCATCAGGTCGCTGACGGTGCTTTTTTCCCGCTGGAAAACACTGGAAAAACACCACGGGGGGCCAAGTGCGGCAGTGGTGACACGGGATATGGATGGCAACTTGATGCAACTTGCAACATTTTGCAACTAATTCAAGACTGTCCAGAGTACTGTCCAGAGGTTTATGATGAGTCTTCGACCAGGGTGTGGATTTTGGGGTGGATTTGGGCAGACAAGGAAACAACATGAAATGCACTGAAATGCTAGGAAGGCTTTATTTGGGCAACCATGCACCTCAGAAATGGTCTGAAAGTACCTAGGTTGACGGACCCGTCGCACGTGACGCGTCTACGTCTCATGGCGTTCAAGTGGCGACCTGTGAGCCGGACCGTTTTCTGAGTTTTGCTCGGAGCTTGTGTAGAGTAAGCAATGTGTTGTTGATATTGTGGCCAAAATGGCCATGCCATTTTGGCTCAAGCTGGGTCTTGAGGTCTCGTTTTCAGGCATTTTCAATTCTATTCAAGAACACTTTTAATGTTCAATCCTTTACTTGGGGATGATTGAACCCACCGACTCATCTTTAAAGTTGAAACCACAGAGAAATCGGTGAATCACCCATTCATCACCAGGTTTTGCTGTGTTGTTCCGAACTGCTGACCGAACTGGACCGTTTTCTTCGTTGGACTGTCAGGTGGGTCTCGGAGACATCCAGCAGCTCGTGAACGACGAGCGACAGAAACGTCGAGAGGACGGGATATGAAATGGATAACACCGGGGCTGAAGTGATAGGCGCTCCATGTATGGTGCCTACATTGACCCCGACTTCAACCACCCCAATGTATGATATATGCCAGTCCCATGGAGTGTCTGGGATTAGTAAGCCGCTATTTTTTGCTGAGTAATGTTCGGTGGGGCGGCAGTGATGGGTCACAGATTGGGCCACACATGGGGTGATTGGTAAGACATGGGCTTTCTGTGGTGGAACCATTCTGAAGCTGATGGTGCGACTTGTTTTTCGTGCATGGATGCAGCGCTTGGGCAAAGTGGTTTCAGCTTGCGCAAAAAACATTGAATCCTAACGAGAAAGCTGGTTGTGTCAGAGCCTCACAATCATTTTCCCACCCCGCCTATCCCAGTTGACAGTGCAAAAACGGGAGTTGTTTAGCGGTCAATGTACCTTGCAAACACTTTCGCGGTACTTTCAGGTTTTCGGGTGAAGACCCACCCGCGAAAGAACAATTTTCACATCGGTCGGGACATCTTCTCAATCTTCTCAAGCACTACCTCAGAGCTTTCATGGTTCGAAAAGTATTCAACCGGAAAGATGCATATATTATATATATCCCTAGGGCTCCAACTACCTCCTGAGAAGGTGGTTGGGGTGGGTTTGGGGGGTCTAACCACCTTCTGAGGATATGGTTGGAGCCCTAGGGTATATATGCGAAGATGTTTGTATGTTCCACGTTTATGAAATCTCTCCACCAGGTCCTAGGTGTTAAACCTTACGTCACGTTCACACCGACCACGCCAGGAGATGGCAGCAGTGCGCACCCGAATTGAAGCACTGGAAGCGGCTCCGAAACGGTCGACGCGTTCGGGTCTGCTGGCGTTCGGGTCGATCGATGCCTTCGGGTCTGCGATCTTTTCTTGGTCTTCCTGGTTTGGGAGGTGAATTGGTCATTTTCCCATCTTTTTTTTGGTGAATCCCCGAACATGGGCGACATGTGGAAAAGAACCGTGTCCGCAAAAACAAGTATTCTTTTGCAGGGTTTTCCCGCAATGTGGTTTTCAAAAGACTCGTCGTGTTTTTTCAAAGGCCTTTGTTTCCTTCACGTGGACGAAAAGAGCTGGGTGGATCACACTGAGATGTTTTTGTTTGCACAATGCTGCAACCTCAGGAGACCTTTTGCACCTGAGTCCCAAGATAATATTCAATCACTACTCGAATATAATCGAATTATGCGACTTTTTTAGAGGAGACTGTACAGCACTCCGCTTTTGAACATCAATCCCTTGTGTCTTTCCTCTCAACCAACCAACCAACCTTTCGCAACAAATTGACAACCAGCCTTTCACCTGTGGACTTCAACTTGTCACATCTCCTTCCGCTCCAACAGCCAACGAGTGCGACCTGACTGAGGCCATCACGCAGGCTACTCCGTGCGGCTCCCTCTCCCGCGAGGAGTCTGGCGGGGAAAGCCCAGCGGCCGATATCGCGGCTGATGTTCGATCCAAAAGAACGGCGTCCGGTCAGAAGCTCTCTCCGATCGACTCCGGAAAAGGAAAGGAAAACGCTTCAGGAAATGCCTCGCAAGGCATTTTGGCATATTTTGGCTGGGAGGGGTGGAACATGGTGGAACTCTGTGAATTTTTACTTGTTGGGTCCAAGATCCAGGTCGACCCGACCAGATGTTGGGCACTTGCAATGTCTGAATAAACTTGTGAATTCCTTCACAATCAGAGTCTTCATGAATCTTCTTTACTTGCAAAAAAGACTTGTTGGTTGTTTGTAGGGGCCTCGCATGCCGATGCCCTGTCAGGTGAGACGCGGGAGTCCGTAGTGCGTTTGGCCCGGAAGCACAGCCTCACGGGATCTCGGCGTATCGTTTGCATGTTGGTTTCGACCGTTTCTGCAACGATCTTAGGAATCCACTGCTCCGGTTTGGTCAACCCTGCAAGCGACATCCCGACAAATAAATATATACTGCCCTGTATGGTTTGTGAATGAAGCGAATGCGAGTGATTGAACCAATGAAAGCTCAACGATGAAATGCTTGACTGTGTTGGAACCGTTCCTGAACATCTCCTGAAGCCTTGTTGCCATGTCCAAAGTGTGAGTCTTCACGCTTCACGCAGTGGCACTGAAGAAATGCGTATGTTCAATGTCCCATTGGCTTTCTTCAACATGCAGGTTTTGTTTGCAATCGATGTGCCCTGATAACACCTGTTGAGACCAGAACACCACCTTCAAATGTGACTTTCTTCCATGTCGCCACAAAACAAGAGATGTTCTTTTATTTACTGTACGAGCATTCTTCTTTTTTGACCACAAAAACACATCCTAAAACATGAAGTTGATAGTTGATGTGACTAAAAGATTGCACAGCGCGTTTTTCGTCACTGGTTGGTCTGGGTTTCGTGTTCGACCAGGCCAAAGATCTCTCGACCATGCGGGAGGAGCATGACCAGGTGCGTGTTTGTCGTGGGATTGCTGAAATAAACGTCACAAAACCTGGTCTAAGGGTGGAAAAGAAGGGAGGAACTCACGTTATTGGACACGTTCGAGGTTCCAGTCACGTGGCCAAGGCCCTGTCTACCAAGTATAAACATTGAAAGGTTCGCACCGGAGTGTTGACCCAGATTGTCTCAACACTGCATGAGAGATGTTGGATTCTCGGAAAACATATACAAAAAAAACACCAAAAAAGCACACAATCTCTGTCACTATCTCTGTCTCCATGAGCCTCATCAGGTCCATTTCGCTCCATTTCCCCCTTTAGGACTAGACCGCGGTGTCTCCACCGTGGTCGAATGCGGTCGACAGACGGGACGGTCGTCCCCGGCTTTAGGCCATTAGCAGCCTCGGGAGTTTGACTGAGCTGGTGGCGAAGACCACCACCAGCACCATCCAAAAGACCGAGGTGCACCGATCGCCGCGCTCGGCGCGCGGTGGATCGGTGCGGGAGAGCGGCGTGGCGGGAGGGAGGAGAGCGAGGTGACTGGCCGACTGGGGATTGGAAGTGTCAAAAGCTGAGAAGAAGGTCGATGGATTTCAGACACTTCATGGGAATTGTAGATGATTGATGAACAAGAAGTAGATTGAACAACCTCTGAATGATTTTCGCAGGGGGTTCTAATTGATCAACCGTGGACATTACCTACATTCATCCCTTCTTCGTCTCCATTTTGTACGCAGATATTCAAGTGTTCGGCGGTTCGAGTTCATCGTCCAAGCTTGAAACCGCGGCTTATGTACACACTCAGAGCTACCTATCATGTGAAAATTGAAAGGCTCATTGATTCAACAGCAAATCAAGTATTGAGCTGAGTGCGGCAGCCCTGGCACGGAGCGTAGGAGCGCCCCAGCCGCCCGTCCGACGTGCGGACGAAGCAACGCTCCGAGCTCCGCCGTATGCCGCCCAGGAGCGCATCGCAGCGGACCTGACGGGCAAGCGCCGGGACTTTGAGCAGCGCGGCGGCAGACAGGATCGGGGGAGTGGGGTGAGGCCCCAACGCATTGGACCCGTTTGGGCCTTCCCTCCCCAGAGAAGTTCATGGGTTGCCCAGGCCTTTTCTCACAGTTATGATGAACACTTTTTGCGAGGCCACATGTGGTTGAGGGAATCCAAACCATGTGAGCCGCTTCAAACTGGAAACGCAAGTTTTTGTTCAATGGGAGGATGGACGAAGGCTCTTCTCTCAAGCGGCACCGCTTCAGCTCACCCCACCCAGGGGCTGGGCATCGGCCTCAGGCCTTGGAAAAACGTCAATCGTGGCTATCCGTGGCTGTTAACGAAGCAGCAGGTTCAATGCAAAACAGAGTGCAAAACAGTTTTCTTTGATAATTTTCGATCCAATGCAGTGGTTGGGACAAGAATAGACTGAAGCTTTGTTGCTTCCGGGCCGAGGTCTGTGAATTCTTATTCAGACAACTCCTGCGACTTGAAAAAACCACTTCGACCGGTTTGTCCCTGGATTTCTGTATCGCATCGCCTTGGTTTTTTAGGCGTTCCTTGATTCATCATCGTGAGCAGCTGGAGCAGGACGCCAAGGCCACCGGCGCCGCGCGCGTGCGGCTGTGCTCGGTGCTCGGTGCTTGGCGCTCGCGGTGCATCGAAGGGTCCACAAAGCGAGCCCCGGCCTGACCGAGCGCGCGAATCAAGAGAGCCAAGTTGGTAGAGCTGTTTATCCTGTTTGTAGACTTTGGGGCACCTGCCGGCATGGACCATCATGGACCCAGATGTTCCTGTTGAACCAATGGGCGACTGTCATCATGCCACACCTTCAGATGCCATCTAACATTACCCCGCTACCCCATTCATCAACCAAAAGGGACAAGCAAGGTTGTTGATCATGCTCGGGCGAGAAAGACACAATAAGGAGACCTTGCATACTATTCTCACTATCATCTACTTCTTAATCCATAGTGTTGTTTTTTTGCAGCCTGAATCACAGGCCTTGGGGCTTGGAGCCCTGGCCCGAGCAGCAAAAACTAACAACCACCTCGCTGGCTTAGGATGGATGTTCCAACTCTTGTAATAACCCGGAAGTGGTTTCTCTTCTGTCTTTGGTGTTAAACCCATCTGCCTAATGACATTTGACCTTTGTTTTGATAGGAAAGCAACATTAACTTTGATGGTGGTGGTCCAAAATAGAGGTCACAAACGGGCCCTAACTCCAGGTGATCAAGAATCAGCCCACGACATGATTCCGTCACCTAGTTCTGGGTTTCTTCACCCCTGCCAACCATCAGGCCCATCACTTCGCGTGCCTAGTTTGGCCTCTTCAGTCTGTGACCACTGTGGCCACTGTGTTTTGTGTGGCGACGTCACAGCACCACCTCGAACCACCCCCTGCCCAAAAATGGCAAATACATGTCTCAAACTCTGCGAGTCACTGCCCAACTTTGTTTTGGAGGGGTGCCGGATGAATTCGGAGGGGTCGGGTGACACCCATCGGATCGACGCGTCGCAGGAGATCATCGCCAACATCAAGAATCTGAGCCCCACCCTGCTGGCCGGCGCCGTGGGAGGAGGTACGCTGGCGCTGGCCCTTACCGCTGGCGGAGGTCTCACCGCTGAGCTGAGCTTTCTTCGTCCTTCTCAGGTTTTTCCGCGTGAGTGATGCACATCTGGGGTGTGCTGGCTCAGTGTGGTGTCAGGTGTCTTTTGTTCATTCATGTCTCGGACATTTCGCAATGGAGCAATGGCCCATGGGGGGTTTGGGGGGGTTTGTAAAAGGGGTTCCATTGACGTTTGAAAAAGGCCTTTGGAGAGAGAACTCCACTTGGCTTGGGAGCCGCTCTTGGAGTAGCTTCACGTTTGATCCAAAAACCATTCTTCGTGCACACTGGTCTTGCTGCTCTCACTCTCCCTCTTGAACAGTGGGGCCAACAAAACGAGAAGAGCAACTTAACATGTTAAAGGTCCCAATGTCCAAAGTTGACATGTCTGACATCATGACATCCCAACATGTCCGAACATTGAATGAGGACCCAAAGTGAGAACAGCAATACATGTTGAATGTCCGAACTCCACCGCTTCCTGGTGACCGCCCCCTAAAGGTCGATAAGGCTCGATGGCATGGTTGCTACCGCCCCCCAATCGATGGCATGGATGGCCTGAAACCTCAATTCTGCCACTTTGGAATTGAATGATTTAAGAATCGTTCGCAGATGTTCGATATCGAATCGCACCTCCAGCAACCTCAGCTCCACGACCGACTTGGGCCAGGTCTCGGGCCCGTCGTGGGGGGCCCCAGAGCGCAGACGACCAACCATTCCAACGATGAAGCGGTGGAAAGCTAACGGTGAACCTGTTCAGTTCAACAACTGGCAGTCACCTTCACAGTCACCCAGCTACGCATGAGATGAGTTGGGCTCGGGCCCACCGAGTTGGACCCGCCTTGGAAAGGCCTCTCCAAGAGAAGGCCGAGGCCTCCACCCGACTGAGGACATGAACGACGACCGTTTACAGGTGGGACACATCGGGCCGCGGGCCTGTCGTTCAATGGGTCGGACGGCAGATGACGGCAGCCTTTTTGGACCATAACAACACCAAAGTGGCTGGGAAAACCATCCAACACGACGTAAAAAATCAGCATGCGTGGCCTCAAACGGGGGAGGTCCAAAACACTATAACAGACTTTTGATGGAAGAACACTTATTTGGTGTTTTTTCAGAGTGCCCGGTCGACAAATGAAAACTATGGCCTTGAACTTCGCAAAAACCTGGGATGACGCCCACGAATTGGTCCCCGGAATCTACAAACCCTTCGGACTTTCATGGCTCCTTGAAGTCAAACAACATCTGCCCGAGCCTGGCTGCCAGCGGGAACCTACCGCTGCGCAACGTCTATTGTTGACCACCTAGAATGGCCTTCAGGATGGAAGATATGGAAGTGAGTCATAGTCACACCACAGCCTGTCATAGAAAGCACATGCAACACAAAATAGAAGACGTAGCAGTGACATGTAGCAGTGACACGAATCTCCTCGCAGGACCGACATGACTATGATCTTTCTGAAAGGATCGACATGACTGCACTGCACCCGAAGGCCCATGACATGCAGATTCCAAGATCCAGTGACATCCAGAGACTGCGCCGTGATGGATCCGGACGATGTCTGTCCCCACAGGAACACGTGTCACGGACAATGGGTGTGTCCGACCACATGGTCTCCAGAATCCGTGGTCACTGTTTAACGGTCGTGTTGAGCATGTCCAGCAGTAAGACGCGCCCATCATCCCTCCCAACTATATATCCTCCAACAAACATGGAAGTGGGAAATGACTCATGACTCATGGCCCCCTTTTTTTGGATAGTTTTATTGTTTTGCCCAAAAGCATGTTCCATGTCCTTCTTGGGCCAACAGTCGAGTTTAACTCCAATTTGCCATGCCCAAAGTTGTTGGCTTCACCCCACCCTGCACATCTTCTTGACACCTGCACGGCCATCTGCGCTTCTCCTGCAGCCCGATTTTTGCGTTCAAGCCCCGCCCACATTTTTCGCAGCCCGCCCATCGTCGAACAAGCGATGAACTGCTGCCAGCCGCCCGGTGCGGACCTGATTCTTGGCGAGAGAGAGAGAGAGAGAGAGAGATAAAGCGAGATGAGACTTAAGTGACTTAAGTTTAATGAGTTGGGATGTTCAGGGAAGTCAAGTGGAAGAGGGCTTCTGAAAAAAACAAAGGAGACACACCCACCATCCCCACATATGGGTCAAAAGGTAGGAACCGACTCAAACCGGTTGATTAGCGTCTGAACAGGTCAGATGACCCAAGACCGCATGTGTCTCTCTCCTTGGTCCATCGTGGATCGTGGCCGCCCGGGTCCAACCGCCCCGACCTCTTGGAGTCTCAGAGACCATTGTGGTGAGTGCCCTCAGTGCCCTCCAAAAATCGTTGGACCCTTCATAGCAGAGGATGAAGCAGAAGAAACATCTCCAGACCCTTTTTCCCCAGCTTTGAAGATTCGGCTGATCTCAGACTTCTGGGAGCTTCTTGTTACTATAGTAACAAGTGCCACGCTAGTAGTAACAAAGTTCGCTATTACTAGTAGTAACAATAAGAATTTAATTAGAATTGTAATTACTCATGCATCACTCATCGCTTTCACGAAGAAAAGCTTTCAGCCCAGCCGGCTGAGGTCTCAGGTCTCCTCGGTCGGGTCGAAAATGCGTCGGGAATTGGTGGGGGAAATTTGTACGAAGCTTGTTTCAGTTCGCAGTGGCCAGGGGTTGAGTTCCGATACCCCGGTCATTTTTTCCCCCGGTCGTCCAATTGTTTGTGGCTCATTCCATTCGCTTTTTTGAACACCTCTATAGACCATAGGGGAAGCATCGAACAAATAGACCACGTGAGCATGGATGTGAGTCATGCCACTTTCATGCCACTCCAAGCTTGGGCATCCCGCATTGAGAAAGACACACTTCATACAGTCCAGATTTTCAGGCCTTCATCGGACACGGTGGGCTCTCCCCCTTACTTCTCCAGCTGCTGGCTGCTCTCGGGTCAAACGCTGAGGAATTCTGTGGAGATTGATCATGCCATCAAGACCGACGAGGCAGGCTTTCCGGTGAGTCTCCGGAAATGGGTATTTCTGGGCTGAAGTTCGACTCGGACGAGGAACAACATGATGCGGGAAGGTTCTCCCAAAGATCAAACACACCGAGATCGACTCGTTACTCGTCGTTTCCCGGAAAATCTTCGTTTTGGACCGCCTGTGAGCGACCAAGCGGCGAACTAATCTGCAAGTCTTTGGAATTCAATCCAGCTTAAAGTGCCACTGATTTAAACTGATGACACGATATACCAGGAGACCCTATAGGTGGTAGTGTTTAGAGCCCTTGCTGGGCAAGTGTTAGTGGACACACCGGTAGCCACCAATTGACACCCCGCTAGGCACGGGTCGTGGAGCTTTCAATCGACCTCGTTGATCGCACGGACGCGGAAGTGGCGAACGGACGAACGGATCCCGGTCGGTGAGAATCGGTGACTGTCCAATCGGCGATGGGTTCGGAAGACGTCACGATGTCCGACAGATGAACCGCTCATTGAACCTGAGATCGATGTGTCTTTCGGTCCTCAGATCGATTGAGCACTTGAGCACTGTTCCGGTCATCCGGTTTGGAGACCACAAAGGGCCAAAAGAAGGGGGAGTAGAAAGACCGGGACCATGATCCAACAGGAGCTATGACCATGACACCCCCTCCAAGATTGATGGTTAAGTGTTTCACTTTAGGCGCACTCTCCAGGGATAAAACCGACCAGGTATTGGGGGTGGCTCACATGGAATCTGAGTTGAGGCCGGAATCTCTGCGACTGACCCAGTCGCAGGGTGTGTTGATTGAGATCAACTTCGTTTTCATGACATCATATGACACCTCTCGTCCCTAATCTCATTACCCAAAAAATCCCAAAACCACTCTGCAGCTTCTGAACCAATAGTTGTTTTCGAGAAACTGTAAAAGCTCTCTATGAATCTAAAAAAGGCATCTCTCCTCAACCCAACATACTTTTCTGCCCTGCTCAAACTTCTGCCAGTCCCATGGCCTCCCAAAAGCCCAAACACTTTGCCACTGGATGGGATCACCCTTCTCCAGTCTGCCCAGAAAGCGCTTGCGCGCACGGCAAGCGCAAAAGCGCAGCGCATCACCAAGCGCCTTGGCGCCAAGCGGGCAGGAACCTCTCAAGGCGCCAGTGGTGCAGCTCGACTCCTCCCCAGTCCCTCCAGCAGTGGAAGAGCTCAAGGCGCGTACTACGCGACTCGGTCGACGCTGTTGGTCGCCGGCGCCGGGTTGGGGGCCGCGGAACTGGAGAGAGAGAGAGGGAGAGAGAGAGAGAGAGACGTGAGGGACCAGGTGAGCGACCACGTTTTTTGGGTTTTGGGGTTGGCATCCTTTTCCTGGGCTTTCTCAATTGATAGTACAGTAATGTCTCTGCAGGGAGCCTTCCTGGAGTCTTTCGCAAAGGTCTCCCCCAGGACGGACCTTGTCCTCAGTTCGACACACAACTATTGCAAGTTGCTCCTTCGATTTCACGTACAAGGGTGTGAGCGGGTGTGGGCGGTTGACTCCCCTAAGTATGGAAAACACGGTCCGCTGGTAGAGACCGTGGTTGATATAATATGTCATAACTCTGCAGGTAGAAAAGCGTCGACATAGATGCTTGGAGATCTTTTCTGGAGCTTCGAACTGCTGGTTTGGGGATCCAGGGGTTTGGGGTCTCTGCTGCCAGGATGCCGATGATGACATGCCGATCGTTGAGTTGAAGCAGGAGAAGGCTGAGGAGCCAAGCCGGTCAATAGCAGATGTGACGGACAGAAACAAAGTCACACCTGTTCTCCTCTTCGTTGACATATTGATACCCTTGTGATTTGGTTTTCAACCTGAAAACCCTGCAACATTAACCTAGCACACCAAACCGCAACTCACAAAGCACTTCACTACTTCAAACACTTGTTTGATTGAAGGGCTGGAAAGCTGGAAAGCTGGCCAGCAGGTCACAACTGGGAGGGGGACAGAGGAAGAAAGGGAGAGGGGAGAGGGGTGTTGTGAGTTGTGGGTTGTTGTTTGATGTTTCTTGTTTGATTGATTGATTTTCGTTGTGGGTTGTTTATTGTTGCAAACATGGACAATGGAGTGCCAATAATGCGTGCTGTCCCGATCAGCATTTCTCGCACCGCCATTAAGTAGATTTCATCCTATTCAGGTGCTGGTTCATTGTATTCAGGGCTTGGGACACTGTGTCAGCATTGCCGCAGCCAGCTTTTTTCATCGCTGATCGGTGGAAGTCAGTTAGGTGTGACAAGGATCAGCCACAGGAACTCAGAACATAAAGTATAAAGTCTCACAATGTTGTAGGAGTATAAAGTCCGACACATAAGTATACACACCTTGGTAATGGGAGATAATATATTGCAGATGTGGCCAATCAAACCGTCCTAGACCAAGCGCAAAACACTCCCCTTTGCGAGAGTAGTCTCAGATTTCAGAAAATATAATGGCTTTCCTTAGCAAGTCTGTGGGGCCGAGGTGGAATAAAGGTGAGAAGCTTCATGGAAAAGGAGTTACAAATGCATCAGAGATTCTGGGCATAATCTCCTGGGCTAATGGGCTCTCAGAATCCAAAACACAGAACTGGACTGAAAACTGGAAGCACACATGAACACAGCATCTCGACATGTTTGTTCCATCCAAACGTCGTTGATTGCCTTCACGTATTCCACTCGCCAAACCTTTTCCAGCGCCCTGGAATGGTCCAAGTCCTGCCATGCGAGATGAGGGCGTTGGCAGTGCTTGAAGGACAGTTTCCGTGGTATTGACTCGTAACTAGGTACTGACTGGGCAAGGGTCCTCAGCACTGAATGCACTTGCACAGTTGGTGAACTTGAAGTTGGAGTTGACCGAGCTGTAGAAGAAGTACATCAGACTGGCTTTGGGCTTGATCACCCATGTGCCTTTTCCTGCATGATTCTTTTCTTTGGAGGGTGAGAGATTTCTTGCATTATTGTTTTCTTTTCCTGCAAACTTACCAAAATTGGATTCAAAAAAAGGGGTGAGTGAATTGTTCTGTTGGTAACCTTGCCTCCTTCCACAATCGGGGTGGACAGCTCGTGGCTGTTGATCGTAGCGTCCGAGATCCCGCTGTCAGAAAGCTCAGAGAGCAACTGGTTCCACGAACATCGCTCGGAGTCGTTGGAGATTTTGGGATTGTTCTCATCAGGAACCTCTAGCACTACGTTGTCAAGCTCACTCTTCCATTGAGCTGACATCACCCGACAAAGTTCGCCTGTCATGTTGGACTGTTTGCTTCCCAGCTAAACTGAATGACTGCTCCAAATTGCTTCAACTTATTTATATAAATTCCAAAGTGTGCTGCTTTCGGAAAATGGCGGTGCTTTTTAACATCCACATTGCCAAAGTGCCATTCAGGCAGGCTACTAGGTCTAGTCATACTCCAAAAGCATGAGACGCTGGCTCCCCACAAGCATCTCAAAGGCAATTTGTTTGCCACATGGCAACCCCACCCACAACAGTTGATTGGTGTTGACCGCTAGTGGCTTTCTAAAAACTGCTGGCATAAAATTCAGAGTTGTTGGACATAGTTCTGGAACAAGTAGGTTGTTGCTTATCGGCAAACCCCCGGCTCGATTGTCAACCATCTCCTGGTTAGGAGAGCTAGCTCAATTGGCATCCTCAGCATTGCCAGAAGGCTGGGAAACTTCAGCCATTTTGCTGACAAGTCTCCTCCGACTGAGCTCACTGTGACTCAATTGTTTCATCGAGTTCACCCGCACAGGATGGTGCGTCCACCTCGGGTTGTGTGAGGGACCCTTTTGAACGAATGTTGGCACACTTGAAGGGTTAACTTTGAAGATCTTTGAAGATAGTTGAATGAAGTGTATTAACAACAATTTTGGGCTAGCTGCTCATCTCGTGCCATCTTCAGCACTTCCTTTTTGGTAGCATCTGGATGTGCTTCACTGAGACGAGTCTGGGCCTCTGAAATGTGCTTCCAAAAAGCATCTCGCAGGCCCACTCGTCCTTCCGCACCTGACTTCTTTCGGGCCTGACGTGAGGCTGGGAAGTGGACTGGTTGATGGACGGTTCTGAGATGGGAGAGTGGACTGGTTGATTGAGGGTTCCGGGATGGAATGACCATAAAGAGGATGGATATGTGGTGTACAACTTCCCCCATTCCCCCTAAGACACCTGATCGCGCTCACCACCCCACTCATCATTTGATGTTTGGCCTGTTTGGCGTTCTCATTCTTCTCATCACCTTCCGCCTCGTGCGGAATTCTTCCCGCGAGGTTGAGGATGTTGAGGGACAAACACAATAAACAATAAAAAAGGAAACGCCAGCGCCTTGTCCTTGTTGGTCTTTCCTCGCTTCCTCGTTTTGCTTTCATCCTCATTCTTTGTATCTTCAGGAACTTCGACGGTCTTCTTAGCCAATACCTTGGCCAGCCCACTCCCCAATCCAATAGTTGCGCCTTTCTTTGCGGAATCGTTCTTGTCTTGACTTGCTTTTCGCTTCTGGGTCTTGTTAGGCTGAGCGTCCGGGTTCTTCGGAGCAGACCCCTTGGCTCTTTTGCACGGCGGTTCCCCTTGCTCTCCCTCCAACCTGTCAGCGAACTTGACTCTTTTGTTTTGGTTCGCATTCTTCTTTGAATCCTCGTCGCCCTTGTTTGCAGTATTTCCATTCTTTGCCTCCGTTTTCTGATTCTTTGCAGCCGGTGCTTTCTTTCCCTTTTCATTCTTTCCATTCTTTTCCTTCTTTCCATCATCAACTTCTTGCGGTTCTGGAGATGGAGATGGAACAAACTCCTCGGATGAAAGCTCTTCTTCAGAGTCCAAGGGGTTGGGCTCATCCTCATCATCATCATCATCCTTTTTCTGGGTTTTGGGAGACGATTTGGCTTTGCCCTTTGCTTTGGCTTTACCCTTGGCCTTTGCGGACGACTTTGACTTTGCCTTTGCCTTTGGCTTGGCTGGCGGAGGACAATCATCATCTTCCTTGTTTTCGAGCTCGTCATCATCATCCGTCTTGCCCTTCTTCCTTCCTTTCCTCAATATTGACTGTGCTGCTGCAACCTCTGACATTAGCACTTCGCACGTCTTGGAAGCCATTCTGGGATCAGACTTGGTTGCTTCCACGATGGTCATGATCGGCTTTTCAGACTTTACAGCAGCGTCAGTTTCCTTTGATTCTGTCTTGGGTGCTTCCTTGTTGTTTTCGTTCTCTCCCTCCTCGGCCTTGGCATCTTTGGGTTGAGTCTTAGCCACCCGTCCAATGCCTTGGAGGAATGCTGCACGCCTGGTTTGGCCCTTTGCCGTTGTCTCAAGTGCAGCTTGTGGTTTACCTGTTGGTGCGCTCACACCCTTTGCTGCCTCAACCTCAGCCTCCTGCTTTTGGTCCTTCTCCTTCTTTTCTTCCTTGGCCTGAACCTCAGTCTCCTTCTTTTCTTCCTTTTTTCCCTGCTGTCTTCTGGTCTTTGGAGGGTTTGCAGGTGCTGCTGCTGTCTTCTGCGTTGCTGCTGTCTTCGCTTCTTTGAGATTCTTGGCCTCATCCTCTACCTCCCCCATGTCCTCCTCTCTTCCTTCCTTGGCATCTTCATGTCTATCTTCAGGTCTCTCCACCATCTGTTCTCCTGGGGTCTGACTCTCAGATTCCTTCTTTGCCTTCTCAGGGGGCACGCTGCCATCTCCATTTCCATGTGTCACATTCTTCTCCGCCTGACCTGTTTCAGTCTTGGGCTCATTGTCATCCGTCATGTCCTCCTCCCTTCCTTCCTTGGCATCTTTGTGTCTATCTTCTTTTCTGTTCTTTTCTTTCTTGCCCTTTTCTTTTGTGGTCTGACACTCAGATTTCTTCTGTGCCTCCTCAGTGTCTTGAGGTGTGTTGCCATCTGAATTTCCATGTGTCGCATTCTTCTTCTTGGCCTCGGCTTTCTTCATGCCCTCCTTCTTGTCTTCCTTGCCCTGCTCATCTTCATCCCCGGCCGTCTTGTCGTCCTTAGGGTCGTTGGCATTAGTCTCAGCGTCATTCTTTTCCTCCTGAGCCTTGGCCTCATCCTCTACCTCCCCCATGTCCGCCTCTCTTCCTTCCTTGGCATCTTCATGTCTATCTTCAGGTCTCTCCACCATCTGTTCTCCTGGGGTTTGACTCTCAGATGTCTCCTCAGTCTCTTCATTCGCAACTTCTTGGGAACTCTCCACCTTCATTTCCTTTGTTCCTGTCTTCTCTTCTTCTTTTCCTTTGGTTCCATCCTTAGGCTCCTCAGTAGCCTGACCTTCTTCCCCTGTCTTACGTGGCTCCTCATTAAAGGGGGCTTCTTCAGAAGCATGGTCATCACTTTGACTCTGATCTTCTTGTGAATCAGCCTGGTCAAATTTTAACCTCAACGATTCTTGTAGCTCCATGGCCAGAACTTCAGCGTCCACGTGCACTTTTGGTTTCACCACCTGTCCCACAACCTCCGGAAACCGGCGTGGGTTGGCCTGAACCGGAATCTTGTGACCGGAACTTCTTTGCTTGTCGTCCGCATCCTGACAAATAAGTAGATCAAAGATGATCGAAGGAGCCGGCTGAGTGCTTCAAGTCAGCTGAGTGCTTGGCCCTGCTTGAAGTCGTAGGTGATGGGTAAGCCTCACAGAAACATTATTGAAGTTGACGTGTCAGAAGAACTTGTCTGGGGTCCTTGCTAAGCGAGGGGGTGGTGTAGTGAGCGCATCAGGACTCTTTTCCAACATCCCACTTAGGTCCTGCCAAGTGCATTTAATGCTAGGAAATCCTGAGTGGGACTGGGCTTACAGAAAAACAGCAGTGTATAACAGCACATGTTTGTCAGTTCTCCTGCTGAAAACCATGGTGAGCTAGGAGCTGCTGAAGGTTCATTGCTGTGAATCTCACAACCCAGACTTGAGCCAATGAGTCTGAGAATTGGGAAATGGGAACACCTTCAAAAACAGAGCGGAGTGACAGTAAATTAAATAACAAACCAGCCAGTTAGACTCGCTTTCTCCTGGCGTTGCATTGTCGCCAGTTTCTCCTGGTTGAAGAATTTGGAACCTCCATGAGCGATCATGTATTCCATCTTTGGAAGGGTCACATTGTCCATCACGGCTGCCTGGGAGTTCTTGGTTGGTTATTGTGACTGGTGATGACTGGTGGTGGTTTGGTAAATGGGATGACCAGGCTTAATTAAAACTTGTTCTCCATAAAAACTCAACTGCCAAGTTGCAATGAACAGTTTGTATTTTTGTTGCGGGTTGGCTTGCTCCAGCTGTCCATCCCGATTCTTCGCCTGGACCAAGTACAGAAGAGTACCCGGGCATCGGCCTGAGAATTTTGCTTCTAATATGTAAGTGTTGAGGAGCTGGTCAATCGATGTTGGCTCGGTCCAGGGCTCAACAACCAGCGGTTCCTCTTCCGCTGGTTCCAGGCTTTGGACGATTGTCAGATCAGTGCCAGCACCAAACCTGTGTCCGGGGGCTCAATGATGCTAGTTACGGGAGTGAGGCGAGCCTTTTGGCGTGGAGGAGAAATGAAAAAGGGCCCTGAATTTCTTGAAAGTTCTTGGCTTATGTCCGAGAAGCTTACTGTCGAAGTCTTTCAAGAGGCTTGCCCAGTCCGGACCGTAAACTGGATCGGAAAGGTGTCTCGAGCGAATGGCAGGTGGAAGGGAGATCTTGAACCTGTTCCATCCTTTCAAAGCAGGGTTCATATCCACCTCCAGCTTCACCAGCCGAAGAGGGAATTTGGACGGATCAGCTAGAGAGTCCGGCGCCTGGGGGGGAGGGTTGGGCTCATACTGTCTCACGCTCCCCAGGGTTGATGAGGACCCCTTCTTCCACTCCTGCGACCGAGTTATTTCAATGTCCAACAGTCCATTGCCATGTTCAAGTCTTGAATAGTATAGGGCCATAATAAGTAATGCCATAATTATGTCTATATAGGTCGGTTTGGAGTGCTTGTAGAGTTTTCCAGTTGCACGACGTTGGAAAATGTTTTTTCAAAAAGCTGATAGTCCTCCATGAGCTCTACTGCAATCATTTTCTCGACAAACTGCGCTGTACTCAAAGACTTGGACACAGACAGGGTCTTGAAGGAATTCTTGGAGTTGGTACCGTACTTGTTCCATCTCATAAGTGTTTTCTCGAGCCATCCGTCGTATGGCGTCACGTTGATGCAAAGAATTGTCTTCTCGCTCTCTGGAATGCTTGCCTTGTCCAGCAGACTGCCAATGAGAACCAACGGTAGTTGATCCCCAGCAAGAAGTTGAGCGCACTCTTGCACGTCTGAATAGCTCCTAAATATAAGATCTGCTAAATGTGGACGCATGTAGTTTACACCTGAGGAGTTACAGGACCCTCCCTAGTTACAGGAGTTAGGAGTCATAGGAGTTGCAAAGAAAAACGGTTGAAGGTGAATCTCAATAGTCTTGAAGTCTACTAAGTTGTTATGTCCATGTCATGTTATGTCACAATGACGCGAGGTCCTTTGTCCTTCGCTTGCGTGAGGGACGCCGTCTTTCTCAGCAAAGGGGACCACATAGGCACTTTCCTGCTGAAACTGGATCTCTTTCCGGGTAGCCCTTGTCACAGGGCAGCTTGATGACATGAGGCTATTATGATGATTAAACATTAAATTTAAACCATGTCATGTTCCATAGAGGAGATATGAGGAGATGTTTCTCAGTCTACTTTTGCCGGGCCTGTCGGAAATCAGTTGACATGTCTTGAACAGGTTGTCTTTCATGGAGTGTTCATCGACGATCACCCATCCGTCGAACTGTATTGGAACTTTCCTCCGGGAGCTCGGGGGAGCGCAGCGGATGGAGATACGCTCAGGCCACAAAGATTTCCCATCGTATTTGTCCTCCAGGCGCCTGCATGTGGGTGGGTCTGGGGGTTGGTGATTGGGTTGACGGTTAGGTGACCCCAACAAATTGGCCTACAAAAGCAACAAAAACCAACACCCAAAAATAGGGGTGTGCCTTTGTTCACCCCGCTGACCGTTCTGGATCTTCTCCGATGTGAGGTAGGGTGCAATGCAAAGTGCGGCTGCTTTTGCACCCCGCTTCTTCAAAACACACTCGATCAGCTCGGTGGTGTCATTGACGTCGGTCTTTGTCATGCGTCCCAACTTCATGCAATCGCACCAAACGACCACAGGACTAGATGGAAAGCGAGCAAGAACCTGCAGGGCCAGAAACGATAAGCGCATTGATAAAGCTCCCCCGTTAGGCAAAAAGACTACATGACTGTGAGAGGGCTGTCCGGTTTTTTGGCAACCCAAACCCTGTCAATCGCTGTGATTTGCTCCTTGATGAACCCAGACTGGATAGAACAGTTAGCTGCCATCCAATCCGACACGATCCCACTGCCAATCACGTTCTGATGTCGAATATGCAAAATCTTCTCCTGTCGTTCTGCGTGCTGAGATTTGCAAGTCTCACGATACAGGTTTCCCAGCTGCGCGACGTCGCGTGCCAGCGCAAGCGTATCTGATTCATATTGGGCACGGCGAGCTTCCATGGAAAGAGAAGAAACCCTCTCGTCTGCCATGGACACCTGGTCAGGGCCTGGCTCAGGAGGTGCTGGCATGTTTTCCTGCCAGATTGAGGTGTTCTGAGCATTGAAGGTCGGATCCAGGCTAGCAAGCCATGATTCTGCCTCTTCGTGATAATCCCTCAGTCAGTTGCCATCTAAACTTTTAAGATCTTTTAAGAAATTTAAAAGTAATTTAAGAATCAAAAACACCACGCAGTGGAAAACTATCCAAACTGACCCATTGAGTCAAAAACACCAAAAGAGTATTGTGGAAAACTGTCCAAACGAGTCGCCCTTCAACCACGCAGTGGAAAAGCTTCGAGATGAGGGCATCTGGAAAAAGCCGATCTCCATGGCTGTCTGTCGCGTCGCTCATCTGGGACAAGACATGGGCCAGGACCACAATCTTGTCGGCCTCACAAACCCATTCAGCGAGCGTAAGCTTCACACTGCTTGCTTTGCCAGCCCTCCTTGTTGCAATCTCGTGCAAGTAGAATATGCGATGCAGAAATAAATTCTGAGCATCAGCGGTCATCGTCAATACCTTGGACCAAATATGTGATCCTTTGACGGTGGGATCTTTGGATGTGCTCCCAATCATCCATCTGGGTTCCAGGAGCACCGTGTTCGACAGGGCTGCAGGGCATAGGCGTGCAACAAGCATTTTACAACATGTTGCAACCCCTTGTGACTTTGTACTAACCCCTTGTGACTTTGTACTAACCCCACGCCTGATTGCTCAAATTTGTAGTGGTGCAGATGCAACTCCAGAGCATTCCAGCACAATGCTGAGACCCCCACCTCACACAAATTCTAAACCTCACACAAATTCTAATTAGATGCACCCCTTTGGAACTCCTGGTCCTGGATTTAAAGCTGTTCAACTTTCAAGGTCCCCCGGCCCGGCCTTGAACCCATACAGGTTCAGTGCCATGCCAGGGTCTATGCGGAATCTGGAGCTCACGGCACATTGCTCAAAAGAGTTGTACTCATCAACCGCAGCCATAAAGGCCTCCTTGAACTTTCCATCATAGAGAGCCGACTCCTACATGGCGATGAATGTTTTAAAGGCGTTTCCTTACTTAACTGGTCATGGTTCAAACTGACATTATTTTCCGCATGTCAGTTAGTTTTCCATGTCGTACTAAAATAATCTGACCCACGATCCCATTAAATATCATTAAATTATGGAATCCTGGACCATCAGCTCGTTCGCGCGGCTGGTGAATGTAAGTGCCTTTTGAAGCACGTTTTTTCGTTGCCGCTCCGCCATCTGGTCGTTGAGTTGCAATCTTCGGAAAGCACACTGAGATGATGAAGCTACTGTGATCTTGCATTTGATGTTCTTGACGGTGTGCAGCCACCTGTCAAAATAGTTATTCGAGGTTCGGGAAACCCACCGTGCAGAACCCTAAATGGTATAAAAGCCTCACCTTCGTGAAGTCCAAATGTCAAAAATTTAAAGACGACGGTTTGGTCGGGACCATCACCTTCGTGATATTTTGGGGATTGCCTGGGTTCAGGAATAGGGCCACCGGGAGGCTCCCAAAATATCCGGAAGACGACGGTTTGGTCGGGACCATCACCTTCGTGATATTTTGGGTGGCAAATGGCTAACCGGGGGGGGTTCCCCAAAATATCGGGAAGACGACGTTCGCGGCGGAACCATCACCTTCGTTTTTTTGAAAATTGGAAGTCGGGAAGACGACGCTTTTTGTCCGTCCCACCTACCAAAGTCAGCTGTCTTCTCCGGAGTCATGGTTCCTTTCATTGCCGTGTAGGAATGAAGAATCGCCCAGAGCAACATACTGAGCCGGCCCAATCCCCTCACTGCAATCACGCTCCCAAAGTCTAATGTCTTTCCAGCAACCCCTGAAATCTTCACTTCGAAGGTGTCCCTCCAGTTCTCGAAACCTCGAAACAGGATGTCCTTCAAGACCCCCAACCAAGTGTGGTAGATTGGGTACCCATCCACGGGTTTGGAGTACATGAACGCCATCAAGGGGACATCAATGACAGCGTCCGCATCATCCTTGGTCGGAGGCAGCTTGAGCATGGGGAGCCGCCTAGCTTTGTGGGAAGATCTTCACCAGGCTTGGAGGGTTGTTGGAATTGGATTGGGGGCTTTTGGAAGTACGACTGGGTGCAGCTGCCGAGAAACAGGAAGGGTGCAGCTGCTGGGTTCAGGAAAGCTTGGAACAATCTCCAGGAGCCAGGTTTGAACTGATCGTGCCATATCCGGTGTCCAATTCTCCGCAAGAGTCCGGGCCGGGTGTTGCTCATCGTCAAGAATGAAGTTCCTCCCACACATTATTAGGAGAACAGTATTATACAGTATTATATAGAGGGGGTATAACAACCAAGTAGAACTAAGATACAACACCAACTCTCATCTCGGAAATGGCCTTGCAAAATTGTAGGCCTCTGCGGCCCACTCCATGCCTTCCTTGAGCTGCTTGGTACGGAGGCCATCTTGCGGAGCCCCCGGGGCCGGACGCTTTGAGGGGGGCATGTTTGCTACCCCCACACCATTGAGCTGAAAGGTTTAACCATTCAGAATTCAAAGTGATTCCTCAGCAGATTGAAATTTGTTGCTTTCTGAAGTCTTGAGATATCTTGAGATCTACTGAAATCATCTCCAGGGTTTCCAAAGGGGTGGTTTTGGGGCGCACCAATACAACAATCTATAACAATCTCAACCCCGCACACCCACCCCTTTAAACCGCTGGTTTAGAGACTTGGAGACCTTTTTGCAACGTTTGACCCGCGGGAGCAGGTCGAAAGTGCATTGGTTCATTCATTCAAGTTCCATCATGAGACGGAGCATCACTTAAGCTCTAAAGCCAACATGGCAACTGCCAACATAGCCGCCACGCACGGGGCGGACATCGAATTGCCTGCCATCTTCGCCAACTGGGTAGGTGGGACATCTTGCACGTCCAACTTGCGACCACCGCAGCTGCGAGCTTGAGCAGGAAGGACTGGCAAAAGCTGCGAAGCCAACATCTCCAAGGGAGACAGGAATCTCTGGTGTTCCTGAGTAGGACACAGCTGGAACTCTTATTTGAGATCTGAGTCTTTTGGAGTATAATAGAATTAGAAAATTAGTATCATGACAATTTGACCATAAATGGATGTTGAAACCACCAAATTTGATCTAGACTCGATACTAAAGATCCGGGTAGATGTCGTCAGGGTCTGTAGCGTACCATCAGAGCATTCTCCACGACCGCGTCCATTTTTGACATATTGCTGAACATCAGGGTACTGGAACTGTGTGTGTTCTTTGTAATCGTTCACGCTCTTGGCCTCAAATGACCGAAGGATACCGAGGGGTATGAGTGCTGCTACAAAAGTGCTGCTACGAGTCTACTTGGTGAAAGGTAGTAGGTAACTACGAGCGCTGCTACACAAAAGCCCTATACTGGTATCAAGACACCTGGGCAGGTGTCAAAGATGAGGGGGGTAGGTCGTTTTTCCAGAAGCACGCTGCAGCTCCCGCCACGGTCCTGGCTGACAGGATGTCCAGAGCTTCGGCCAAGTCCACGTCCTGGCGCCAGCGTACGGAGTCTCGGCGCCATGCTAAAACATAGAGTCTTGATCTTGCACAGGGAATCCCAAAGTTCCGCGGGTCGATCACTGCGTGCTTGGTCTGCCACTTTGGGCCCAACCTCTGTTGGACCAACGAGATTTGGTAATTTGGTACGTTTTCAATCAAGAGAGCATTGAACTCATCCCTCACTCCATCATAGTACGCTTCGTGGGTCTTGAATGCCACGTCATTCACGCCACGACGCTTACCCATTTGGCTGAAGCTGACGCACACGGGTCCTTACGGGGTGAAATGATCCCACTCCCCAAAAAATTGACCACGCACGCACACCCACTTGAGGCACGGGCCAGCTCCGTTGAATCTCAGTCCTTATAGGCTGGCAGCGGGCTGTAGAACGCAATCAGTTTGATTCTATTAAAACGAGAGTTGGGCAGTTCCAACAAGCATGAGAGTTCTTGCAAACGAGTCTCTGTGTTTACTCTTCCCAAACTTCTTGATGACACACATCTTGTTGTGTGTTGTGCAAAATGCACGCTTCTTGTTTCCAGGGTGGAACTCTAGTATGTCGTTGAAGTTGCACACATTGTATGTTGATGCAAGTACTTTGGTGCAATGCTTGTCACACTCCACAGCGTACTCGAACCGAACGTTCGGGAACTTGACCGGCCGTCCACACTTCTGCAGGAAGTCGTTGGCAGCTGACTGGAGGCTGGTCAGAGCCTGGGGGCATTGTGGCGGAGCTGCACGGTCAACCCAAGTTCAACTTAGTTTCTGACATTCTCCGGGGCGCCAACACCACTGAAGGCTGAACTGAAAGACCATCTCCATTTACGCAGCCTACGAACCATCCAATCCTGGCCAAAGTGACCTGACAGCCTACTCAGGAATACTTTTGGCCAACGGAAAGCACTGTGAATGGTCTTGAAACCCTCCGGGTGATGGTCTGTCGGTGCATAGATCGTGGTCCGTGGATATTTCCAGCGCCTGCAAAAAAGTTGAATACAAATGACCATCCACATCATCCAAATTTGGGGGTGATTTTCCAAACCTAAATATATGAGATGGTGATGATCATCATGATGTTACACGTTCAACAAGAAAGCTGCTGCCTGGTGGTTTTCTTCAGGCTCTTCCGTACTTTGGATGTCGAACTCCTTTCAACTTGGGAGGCTAAATAGTTGCATGTTGTATGGCAGCTAAACTTGTAAAAAAAACACCGCTCCTTTCATAGCGCAAAGCTGCATGGACGGCCTGCTTGAGGCACAGCTTCATGGGCGGCATCGTGCTTGATCCTCGTGCTTGAGCCTCGTACTTGTGGTTATTGTCAGTCCCCTTCAAATCTACCTGCAAACTTGTCAAGAAAAACTTCAGACTTGGTGCACTAAAACACTTTTTCCCCTTCAAATGTCTGGTCCATTCCAGACATCTATTAAGTTTCTGGTCACTGGCAGTCAGGTTCTTGAGATTCTTGAGCAGGATCAGCCTGACAGTCTACTTGGTGAAAGCTGAATCAAATTAAGAATTAGGGGCCTCCGGGCAGCATCTCGAAGGAGCGGAGCGTAGCGCTGACTTCCTGGCTTTTGTCTTTGGCTCTTGTGCCTCCCAGGTCAGGATTGTTGGGTGGGAGCTCTGGAAACGTGGCGAACCTCAGCGATATGCCCAGTAGCTTTGTTCTTTTCCTGAAATGATCATGAGTGCCCTACTGTTGAGTTGGAGCCTGAAATGATTGTGAATGTTTGGCCTTCTGGATGTCTTGGAGCGAGCCGGACACCTGCATAGAACCGATCGATCAATCAAACTCGAAGGACAATAGACAACAGGCCTTATGAGAAAATGATGGGGCGTCAACGTTCTTCCAGTCCACTGCCAACTTGTCGTTCTTCTTCACCTTTAGTGTTTGCCCGGCCAACTGCTACACCGATCACACGCTGAGGTTGTTGCGCAGTTGTCCAAGTCCAAAGACTGCTGCTGGACAGGTTCAGGCCGTGCGGGAGGGTCCGTTGACACCTGAAGGGCAAGATGTATTCTGACTGGGACATGCTATGGCGCTAAGATCTAGACATCAAACCTAGGCCTTGTCTGGGACCTCTTGGCCCAATATCAGAGTCTCCTGGCTGAAGCTACGCTCACTTGATAGTCTCATTGAAAAAAAAAGCCTGCGAATCGGACATGTCAGGTGGGTCCACCTGCCAAGGGCATAGTGTATTGGGAAGAGAATCACTCTTCAGCTGTGGCCTGTGAATCTTCAAAGAAGGCTTGCAAGTTCATCCGAGCGCTCTCTGTCTCCTGGCCAGCTTAAACCATTATACAGTGAATCCTGTTTGTATTGAATGCAGTATTGAATTGGCCTGAGAATCCTCGATCCAGATTACCTTCAGAACAGGTTTTGGGTTTCCTGATCCATTGAATCTCACAACCTTTTGGGGCAGGTGCTTGAACACCAGCTAGGTCTAGCGGGGTCTATTTTTGGATGTTGGTTTCAAGCACCTGACCTGATCCTGAAATTCAAGAAGCTGGCCTGGCGTGTTGATGCCGGCGAATCAATCTAGCGCAAAATTAGTCTCTAAGAAAGGACCAAACGATACCAAACGCCGCTTGCCTGCGTTTCAGGTGTCCCTTCGAAGGCATTTTGTCGCCTGGCCACGTGGCAGCAACAAAGTGGGTATAGCCAAAGGGTAGCCAAACCTCCAAGAGCGAGACATTAGAGTGCCACTTGATTGAGCCAAAAGGTTGCTAATGACTGGCAGGAAGTTGGATGTTGAGTGTTGTGTTTGAAGCAAGCTCAATTGAAACGACATATTAGACTTAAAGTAGTTAAGTTTTGCACGGCAGCACTCTTGTCTCATGTCTCAGCTGCACTCTTCGAGTCAGCTGTCCCTAGCGGGTCTTCCAGGACGATTTCTCCTAAACTGGGCCTGGAACTTTATGCATGGTGCAACATACTGTGCCACATTTGGCAAACCAATCTGGATCAGAGGCTGCGTGTTGGCAGTTCCATACCATGGGAGTGGGGCCAAAGAGCCAGGATTTTGGTCTTGAACAATGCTCAGTAGAAACCGCACTGCTCGACGGGACGTGTCTGACGGGAATCGTCGAAGCATCACTTGCGCATAGGCAAGATAGTCCTCGGCTTTCGCTGGCTTTGGTGCCTGGAGCTGGCGCGGCACTGAGGGTGCAGAGTTCAGCAGCGGAACCACGAATTGGTATGGCATCCCCAGCAATGGTTCCTGGCATAACCAAGTAGTATGTTTGCAGGGGTTGAGGCAAGGGATGAGGGACTTATAACTTGACAAAAGAAAAACCAACGGTCCTGTGCCAAATCATCATCTGATGCAAATCTTTTCACGAAGATGATGCAATCAAGTTCATTATCCATCACATCTCTGCGCTTACAGTCGCTTTTGATTGGAAGATGTCTTGGACAATCTTGCAGGGTGGCAGTGGCAGAGTCATTCAACCTACCCTGAAACACTGTTGTTGAACAATCTTCATTCAATTTTCAGTCGTCGTATTATACTTGAATATAATATCATATTAAGTATTCAATCAGAAATCGTTGCCTCGCCTTGCCGTGGCAAAAACAAGAAGGCATGAATTCCGCGGCCCGAGGTCTTCAGCCCACCTTTATACTGCACTGGCATCTGCTGCAGCCTCCGATGGTGAAAAAAAGAGATGCACGCTTTCGTTAAGGGTGACTATTATTACTATTTTGTTATATTAAGTAGGCAAGAAACCAGGTTTTCCAATCCCTCACTGCTGAGATAAAGCTCACATTCACTTCAGCGTTTGGTCCAATCCACTTTCGAATCTGTAGCCGGTCGAGGATCACCCTCAACTTCCTTAGCCCACCCAGCTGGACTGGACTACACGCAGGGTCCCGCAGGGTTGATTGAATATGCCATTGACCAATGGGCCAGTGCATGCAAAGTGTCTGGCAGCAGTCATCTGGGTCACAAAGTAGGTCGATGTACTTGAAGCTGGTTGCGATTAGTCCGAAGAGTTGGTCTTGGATGCATGATTTCAGTTAGTGTTTGTCAAGGAACTGGTCCAATGAGATGTGAAAATATAGTTCAGAGATGTACACAGAGACGACCATTGGGCCTAGCGTCCCAAAATGCCATGAGTGTGGCCCACTTTGGAGAACAAAAGTCCTCCAAAGCGGACTAAGCGTTTGCAAATGAGGGTCGTCAAGAATTTCAACACGCTGTTGTTTTTGTTCTCCCTGACCGTATTGTCGGCCTTATCAGACAGCAGAATGGTTTCAGCATCACAGGCACAACACGTGATCACCAACGCTGCCATTAAAGCAAACAAGCGGCCCACAGGAACACTTGGTCAGGGAATGCACGGTTCTTCTGCTGAAAAGTATGCACGGCCCTCTGCAAAGAGATGTTCAGGCACTCAATAACCAATGACGCGTCCGCGCTGCATCCTGGATGGACAAGAAAGAAATTCAGCGACACACCGTGCAGCCACACGGCGTGCAGCTTTAAGCGCGGTCTCACAAGCTGTTGGCAATCTTTAGTAGACTGGCATAGTCGATGTCTTGGTAGCGCCCACTTTGCTTGATCCATACCGTCCTAGGCTCAAGCATGTTAATGACGCGGTTATATTTTGGTGCAGCAAAGCGTTCCACTGACCCAAGAACCACCAAGTCTCCATGTGAATCACTAAAGCAGCGCTCTCATCGCTCAATGGGTTCTGTGCCTGCACGTTGTCATATAAGTCACCCAAGGCAAGCGTGAACAAGGGAACCCCTATCCTGCAAGTATTCCTCCAACCCACGGTCTGAAGCGACGGAATCCAGATGCGCTTTATACGAGCGTGCCGCGTCAAACCTCATCTGACTGTCCTCGGCGCACACCATCAACCCAACTCAAGAACAACCGTGAGACACACCAAGCAGAGACAAGCAGACAAACTCAATAGGTAACAGGCATCCCGAGCGTGTTTGAACTTTTCCTTGTGGTCAAGGCATACGTCGCAGGTGCCGTGCGTCGACACGGGCAAGAATCGTAAGATGTTTTTCCATACACATTGGAATCTTCTGAAGAATGTGCTATACCTTCGCATTTGGAAGATCGGACGATGACCAAAAAACCAAGACAGTGGCAAACAAGCTCATGATGCAACCCCGCTGCGATATCCTGGGATTGGACTCAGTGAATCGATAGAATAGCATTTTAGGGCTACCCGGCGGCAAGTATCGTGTCACAAGCTCTGACGTGACGTTGTTACCCAGGTTGGTTTGC